TTTGACACAGTTACCCACAAAAACAAAACTATTTACCCTTGTCTACCCATTTATTTTTCTACCCATAAACTAACATTTCCTACCCATAGTAGTTTTTGTAGGGAATTTTTTCTTTATTCTCCAATTCTTTTTTATTTCTATGCTTCTTTTCTTTTTTCCTTTTTTCTTTTCTTTTCTCCTTTTCTTTTTTTCTCATTTTCTTCCTATTTTTTTATTTTTTCTCTTTTATTCATTTATTTTTACCCAAATCGTATTATTGTTATTTTTACCATAACTTATTTCACACTCAAATTTGACTCCTTCTTTATTTTATTTTTATTTTTTTTCTTTATTTCTTTTTCCTTTGTTAATTCCACGTGATTGCCATGCAAACCTTGATCTCCTTCCCTACAAATATTAGTACATACTCTACCATTAGCAGTAACACTAACCAGTGATGGAGCAAGACAATATAATCAACTGCCACTAAATCTCCATATATACTAGTTAGAATATAAATGATAATAAAATATTGGAAAATGCAATAAAAATATAAGTAGCAAAAAAGACTTCTAGTACCACATGATACCAATATGGTATACATGTATACCAACAGAGTATATGATTGCTCTAGAATATTTCTACAACTATCTGTGACTATACTACTGTACCAAAACATTAAAGGATACAATAAAAGTATGAGAAAATTACATGCTCGCATTGCAAGCTAAATATTCGCAAAGCAACTTGCTCATTCCATATACTAACAGGGTATATAGTTGTATGGGTCGTTCCAACAATTGCCTATAATTACAAAAACTGTTATATAATACACATAATCTATATCCACCAGCACAAAATTTTTCCAGCACTGCAAATCACGTTCATATAAATAATTTCAGAATAGAATTCACTTAAAAATGCAGCCAAAACAACCAAAAAAATATTCAAACTACCATATGATACCAATATGGCATATAACTATACCAACATGGTATACAGTTTTACTAGTTAATTTCCGGCAACTATATGACTATACTACTATTACATAACACACATGCATAAAGAGAAAAATAAAAAAATAGTGTACCACATATTAATGTGATAATGTATTTCAAGATATTGAACTATATTACTATTATTAAAAAAATCAAATATTGTACTAATAAATGCAGCTAATACAACCAAAAAATAATTCAACTAGCATATGATACCAATATAGTATATAGCTATACTAATAGGGTATATAGTTGGAATGAACTGTATACCAAAATGGTATATTCGTATACTATTTGAGTATACAATACAAATTCGTCTTCTTCTCTTGTTCAACTATATTTCAACCCAAACTTCTAAAATCTACTACAAAACTACACCAAATTGACTAAAACTTTAGCTACAACCTCCAATCAACTTTTCAAATAAACCCATATAGGATCAGATCAAAATAATTAAAAACTCAAACAAACCAAGTTATGAGTTTCAAGCTTCAAGGTCCTTCAATGGTGGATTTGAAATTTTGTACAATAAATCTCCAAAAACGAGTTTGGTTGAAGAGAAAGAGGAAGGTATTAGCGAGAAACAAGTGTGTTTCTCACTAATACCTTCTTCTTTCTCTTCACCCAAACTCGTTTTCCAGAATACTACAATAAGAGAAAATCATTTTAGAATTAAACCCCATAAAAGAAATGGAAACGAATTCAAGTGTTAACTCTAGAAAACTAATGGGTTTAGAGAAGAAGAAGAAGAAAATAGAGGAAGAATGGAACTCCATTTACAGCTCTAAGCACCAACCCTCTCGTGCTGACTTCCTTCCCCATTTCATATTCGGTGTTGTTCTGCTTACCAGGTTTCTTCCATTTCTATTTTATTTTAACCGGATAAATAGTTTGGGCCCCATGGGTAGGAGTAGTAAATAGTTTGGGCCTGGGCATTAAAGGATAAATAGTTTAGAATTAATGGGTATAAAGTGAGATTTTCTCAATCAGATAGGTGTTGAGAGTAGAGCCCATTTAGCGACATATCCAGGATCTTGGATATATGGGCCTGTAGAACCTGCATGGGTGTTTAGTATGTACTTAATGAGAGCGAAGTGCACAAAAAAAGCCGTTTTAAGGTTGCTATTCAGAGATTAATTAGTACTTATTTTATCTTGAAATTTTGAATTGAAAATTTTAATTTTAAGATAATTCAGGATATTTGTATCCCGAAAAATTGAGTTAAAGAACTGAAATTTAGGATGCATCTAAATACCAGCCCTTTAGAGTGGCTACTTGGTGTCATTTCTACACTTTTAACGAGCATTTCCTAAAGAGCCCATTAAAAGTTTCGGCTTGATTTCTGATCCCACAAAAAATTTGGTCCTAACTTCTCTAGTCCATTTAAATGTTTTTTAATACCTTGAGAAT